TCTGTGTCTATGTCCTTATTTGTTATTTGAGACCCAAAACTAAAGTTCTGTAAAATATTTTGGCTATTTTGACAATTTCATGTTTGATGAGGACACAGACAAAATAGTTTCCAGCAGATCAGAATGACTGAATGACGTCAGCAGAGGACAACCCTGTAATTAATATCCCTTGAAAATGGAAGAAAGTGCAAATATAAAAAAATGAGAGCGGTATTATGGCCTAAGAAAGTTCCTGTAAGTGTAAAAGATTATTAGAAATGTACTTGTTGATTGTGAAATAAATTGGTCAAAACTTCAAATAATGCCCAAAACTGAAATCTGTATTTTTACCAATACTAATTGGCTCTTTTACAATGTTCGACCATAAGATGACACATTTTTTACTCCATACAAGTCAGTAAAAATATAAAGATTTCAAAGGTATTTGCCATTATTTAAAATAAATAAATAAATAAAAAATCATATGAAGAATAGAATCATTTATCAGCTATTTTACTGATTTAGGTGTTATTTAAGTTTGTTATATTTCTTTATAACAGCAATTTTATAGATATTTGCTGTTGTTTTTTGTTTTGTTTTTTTAATATGTAGGTTAAAAAAATCAAAAAATGTTAGATCTTTACCTGTTTTATTCATTTGTTGCATTAAATTATCGGTTGTAAAATAACACTTGCTGTATGTAAACATATCGATTTAGCCCGACTATTGGGGGTTGACATGTAAATATCTACTTTTTGTGACTAGTTACAGTGTTCAACCATAAAATGATAATTTTTTACTATGTTTAAATCAGCAGAAAGGCTCGTTATAAAATAGATTTTTGTTGAAATCTAAAAGAAAAAAAATCTGTTAAGGAGAAGTAAAAAAAAAAAAGTAATTTAATTACATAGTAATTTTCCATATTTTTACTGTTTTGTTAAACTACAGCTCGTAATTAGTAAAACTGCAAACAAATGTATTAATTTGCACATTGACTGTTAAAAGAAGAAGAAGAAGAAGAAGAAGAAGAAGAAGAAGAAAACAACCAAAAAAAACTAAACAAAGATCAAAATCTGTGATCCTCACCTTTACATTGTGTGACCATAAAATAACACTGTTTTGTTGTATTGAAATCAGCTACAAGTGTTAATCCTTTACAGGTATTTGTTTTTACATGTTACAGTATTCCACCATTTCTTAACATATTATTTTCCAGTGTATTTACCCGGAATATTTACACTCCGTTATGCACGTGAGGGCAACTTCCTTGGTAACTTTTCATTATTGACATGAGCCAGACATTTGTTCTGTACAGTATCACTTCTCCCCCGACCCCATCCCTTTTTTCAAAAATACTCATGTATGCACACATAGTTTACGCTTTACATTTTTAGCCAAAACCAGCTGCCACAATCCACATCTAAACTGCTGCACAAACCCATTTTGCAGATCAGCTTTGTGAATAAGACTGCGGGTATATCAAGCAAACAATTTGTCACGTCGCCACTTGGTTGACCTCCAGTTCAATCACAATGGATGTGAGTTGATGCAGTGCTGATGTTCGTGTGTCTGTGAGTGAAGGATGAATGAAAGTGTAAAAAATGACAGAAAGTAGGACGAGGGTTTAACGCAAAGACAAACAGTCATAATCTCCTGTTTCTGAAATAAATGTCTCCATTAGTTGTGATGATGCAGCTCATTGAAACACCTCCAACCTCCACCTGCCTTCAGAAGCTCAGGACTCACATCATTACATCCACATCCCATCTCAACCCACCACTTAATGGCATCACACGCCTGATATCACTGCGAGGTGCAAGGTTAATGCACAGTAGTTTAGTCTGCGCTCTTCATTATTCTGATGACTTTTAGTTTGCACTGCGCTGCCCTCCAGAATCTCCGGCTGTAAAAACAGGCCAAACAGGCAGTAAAACTACCCACCAGAGAGGCAGAAAGCCTGAAAAACATCCATATTTCACCTCAGCTCGGAATTTCTCAGCTCTTTTTTTTTTTTTTTACTGCAATATAAAGTCCTGCCCCTCTGTGGAAACACAACAACCGTGAAGACACTGCAGTGGGCTGTGTTTTTCAAAATGGTCAAATCTGATGCTGTTTGGAGCCAAAATAAGAATAATGTTAACAGCTGGTTCCTGTAAAAACAGTTGATGTTAACCGAACAAAAAATGTTCCCAAAACGTTATTTCAACAAGTGACTCGTTTAAATCAGTGAAAAATCTGATTGGTAACTTTATATTAATGCCCTGCAATATTTATTCATTTGTTGCATTTTTATCAAGCGGCAATATTTGACACAAAATGCAACCTTTTTCAATTCAATTATATTTTGAATTAATCATAATTAATGTATTAAAGTCCCATCCCTAATATAGATGTATATACTTATATTCATCATATATTTGTATTTTTTACATTTTTAAATTCATAATTATATTTATCGTGTTTTCGAAAGCAATATCTCTGTTTAATTGAGATCTTTGTTTAACTTTAAAATATCAGATACTGTCTTTGTTGACTCATTTGATTTGATTTCTGCACATTTATTTTTTTTTGTTTGTTTTTTTTCTTATTTGCTGCTTGTTGTCTTTATAAAACTAGAATTTTTAAAATTATTTTATTCCAAAATGCTACCAAATGTGTCAGAAAACAATTGCAGCTATTGTCCTGGAACTCACACATGTATACATTTAATTATGGCCTTAAAAGTGAATAATGAAGTGTGTTAAAACTGCACATTACTTTAATGTTATCCTATGATATTTACAGCTTCAGCAGGCTCGCATTAATATTTCATTTAGAACATAATTGCCAGTGCAGGTCATATTTCTGTGTTTATCTCTGTATGTGGGTTTTATTGTTTCCCACGAGCTCCGCTGAACAAACACCAGATAAATCTAACGGCCACTAAATGGGGTCAGTTCAGGGATCAGCCGCACATCTATTAGGATGTTTCCTGAGGCCAAAGTCAGAAGATGTGGAAAGTCAGAGGGAAGGTCTGCACATAAAAGGAGGTGAATGAACGCACTTTGGGTTTTTAAATGGGGCGGATGGTTCCTAAAGTTTAAGCTTTCTTTGTGCAAAAATCCCTCCTTTTGTTTTAGTTTGTTTCTGACAACTCGGGTTGCTTTAGTGTCACATTGATCGAAACTAGACTCATGCTGAGAAGGAAGGTGACTGAAAATTCTTACAAATGTCCTGTGAGCTGTGTTTTAGTATTTATCTATTTAGATTTTTGAAACTCTTGCTCTGTCCTATAAAGATGCAACGGTTCTGACTATCTGTGTGGTCCATTTAGAAAAATGTACAAAATTATGCAATAGAAGAATGATCTTTACTTCCACAAAGAACCAGCAAAACAAAAAAAAACAGAAGAACCATCAAAATACATTTTGTTTAGGCACCATAAATAGCGATCCAAACACCTGCTGGTTAGTGTTTCCATGTGATTTAATATGTGTCAGTCATGACCTTAATGTCCTTGTGCTGAGTCAGCATGATTTATTAGAGTTTATTCAGCTTATTTTTCGTGCAAAGACTGGAGGTAGGAATGGCATAAAACCTGCATTCTCTAAACAATTTATCGGTTTCCAGGGGTACAAATAGATTAGATTAGATTAGATTAGATTAGATTAGATTAGATTAGATATAATTTTATTGATCCCTTTAGTAGGGTACCTCTGGGAAATTGTTCTACTAGCAACAACACAACACCAACAAGACAGATCAATCAAGAAAAAAAAAAAAAAAAAAAGCTGCAAACAAGGAAACAAAAGAAACAAACTGTTAGAAGGAAATTGCATTTTTAGCAAAATTACTTAAAATTCATCATTATCATCTCTAACACAGCGTTTCATCACCTTCTGTCACTCATTTATCGCCAGTCAGAAAAAGAAAAACACTTAAAATATCTCTGTAAATCCCAATCTGGCACAAGCAGGAATTATTTTAGGTTTAAGTGTGTTTTTTTAAACTGAAATCAGCCACTTGTTTCCAGTTAATACTGGCACCAGCTGGTGGATGTTTTGAAATCTAATGAAAGCTGTTCAGGCCAAAGGCAATGTGACTGGATTAATAAGACAGTTTAAACCCCTCGATGCTTTTGATTGGAAATCCTCAGTTCTTATCACTTCACCTTTCAATAATTTTTGTTTTTTTTCACTCTGTTCATTTAGTGGGAACTCTAATTGCCTCCCTGGACTCATGCATTAGATTCACCATAAATGTTCTCAGCTCAGTCACTTCCACCATTTCTGCGTTTGGAAGAGAATAAAACACTAAAAACATTCAGAATCGTGACAGTAATTGGGCTCATTTCAGACACACAGGGTGATGAAGTCGTGCAGAGTTTTACCTTCATACTATGAATATTTCCAGAGTTCCAGGTCCTTGAAGTCCATAGAGGAAGGTCCACACTTATCACATTAATGGACTTTCTCCATCATTTCTGAGCCTCAGAACTTCATCAGTACAGCAGATAGACACATGACATTTTAGGATGAAAAACACATTTAAGTTCTGGTAAAAACTGCAACCAGATCAGTTTTACATCCATCCAGGAGTCACAGTTTAAACATTGAATCTGGTTGCTGTTCATTTTCTCTATAACCAACGTTGAACATCAATATTATGGGATGTATCATAGTTTGAAGAGTAAAACTGCAGCAGCTTAAGATACCTGGATCGCCTTCTAGACAGTTTCTAATACAGTCATATGTCAACACTTGGGAATCTTTTCTTGCCTCAAAGAAAAGACAAGCATTGATACCAAGATGACACACCATCACTGTCTGAGGCTGGAAACTGAACAAACTAATAGAACCAGAACTGAACACCATCAGAGGAGAATCTGAAAGACTCTCAAAGAAACTCTGAATGCTGCAAACTGGTTTGATTAATGAGATTAAGCTTATCGATAAAACATGTAAACATCAATGCTGTTTCTGTTTCTAGATCTATGATACCGTGGTGAAAATGTTTTATGATTTCATGATGCTCTCTTTCAGGACGGAGCCTCGTCAGTCCTTTGAAGCTCTGGGATGCTGGAGCATCATCAGCCGAGGACGCATACAATTCAAGTAAATCTATTTTCTCACTGTACACAACATAATTATTAGTTGTGTTGAACATTGTGACCTATCAAGTTTACCACATTGGAGTTACAAGTGATCTATTTGACAAAACATTCATATTACATCCATTGATGTTTCATTTTTATCCACTTCGGTGTCAGTCAGTTGGCCTACACTAAAAAACAGAATTTAACTGAGAGCACAGTAGATGGACGGAGGACAGGACTTGTCACTGTGTTTGGGCTCTTCTGATGAAAACATCTGCACTTATTCAATTAAAACTCTTTTAATAGTGAATTCAAAAGATGTGGATGACAGAATCTCCTCGTACAGTCTCTCTTCTTAACATTTGTTTTTAGGATCAGTCTGGAATATTTCACACTGTGGTGTTGCTCCAGATCTCAACATGAAGACAACATGGAAACATCTTTGCACATATAATACCAACATATGAATCCACATCAACATTTGGTGTAAATATCTAAAACCTGGATCCTTGTCTTGTCATATTTAACAGACGTCAGAGTTGGTAAAATGTCAACCAAAGACTGGCTTTATTAGAAATATAGATCCATCCACATATCTACACTTACAGGAACTTTCAAGGGACACAATAGCAGCCTGGATTTATTATTTTGCACTTTTTTCCATTTTCAGAGACCAATAATTGAAAATATGTCATATGCTGAAGCCATTAAATCATTTAATTCTGCTGGACACTATCCTGTCTATGTCCTCACCAAGTTTCAAACAGCTTCAGGTGTATGATGGCGAAGGTTTGAGGGTAAAATTACAAAAACTCCTAGTTCTCCCCAGATAATAAATCAGTATTTAATGAATTCTGTCTGAATTCTGGTTTCCTGAAACATGTGCAGTCAGAAATACTGAAAACATTTGCAAAGATGATGAAAGTTATGCAACATATACCTTTGCAGACGCATGTATGTACAAATTGGTCTTATTTTTTAAATCAAAATAGCCACGACTTGAGGCCCGGTGAAGTGGCCCATATAGAAATATCAATCTGCCAAAGTGTCTGACTTTTTAAAAACCTTAATGTTACTTCACATCTCCTGATGTGATTTTGATCTTTCAACAGGTACCAGCAGCTTGGAGGTGAAAGAGAATCAGGACGATGAAAGCCAAGTGGAGCGTGACCTCGTACAAAAGTATCATCCATCAACTTTTTGCACAACGTTCCCCAGACGTGCACCAAGAGGCCTGAAGAGGAAGCAGCCGCTGGCCGACGGAAAAGACCGGCTGCTCTACCACTCCACTTGTAAAAGAGCCTCCTGGGCCGTGACGCAGAAGAACGCCCTGGTGCAGCTGAATGAGTTACGACCGGGTCTGCGGTACGAGATCACGTCCAGAACCGGCCCGCTGCACGCTCCAGTGTTCTCCGTAGGAGTGGAGGTTAATGGTTTCTGCTACGAGGGCCAAGGATCAACAAAAAAGCAGGCCAAGATGAGGGCTGCGGAGGTGGCTCTCCAGTCCTTCATCCAGTTCCCCAACGCCTCCCAGGCTCAGGCCTCCATGGGGAACTTCACCAGCACAGCAGATGAACTGGATTTTACAGCAGATAAACTGGACATCCCATTTGAACCATCGCTGCTGCAACACTGCGACCTCCTGCACTGCAACGCAGCAAAGCAGGAGGTCTTCTCCAGCATCTACAGCCACACGCGACTTGTCCGACTCACGCTGGACTTGTTTTCCTCAACGAACCCAAAAAGAAGAGCCGTCAGCGCCTCACTCTTCGAACACCTGAGTGCGGTGGCGCTGCTCAACCAGCTGCGACCGGGACTCAGGTACATGTGCCTGACGGAGAGGGTCCACGGCCGGCCAGCCAGGAGTTTTGTGATGGTGTTGAGGCTGGAGGGGAGAGTGTTTGAAGGGTGCGGTAACAATAAGAGGACGGCCAAGGCTCAGGCAGCAGCAGCCGCCCTGCAGGCTCTCTACGGTATCAGTCTGGGACCAGAGAGGAAGTTACTGGGCTTCCAGGGCAGCAGGACCAAAAATCAGCTACCTCAGGTGAGTTCGTCTGGATTCTGTCCTACACCACTCTTGAACCCACAGATTGTAAAATGTTGTAACTTATAATGTTGGATGTACTTGAAATGTCAACTTTAATTCAGGCAACATAGAGTTCTTCATTTATTCAGCTATGTAGCAAAACTGCAGTCCAACACTTATGATATGTACTTCGGCTGTTTCTTGTAGAACTTGTGCAGTTAATAGATGTTAATGATTAACATGTCCCTGTAGGCTGAAGATAAGGGGCACACATGACAAATAAATAACATAAACAACCTACACAAAAAAGACACATATTGAGAAGTGATTTAAAAATGTGCTGCAGACCAGAACACCAGCTGAATGTGAGACACTGTGTGGGAAGATTTTTGCTCTTTTCAAGTAATCTGTGGCGGTAAATAACTCCTGATATGCTGCTCACAGTCATGACAAGAAGCAAAATGATCAAAAAACATTCGAGATAACCTCAAAATTCAAGATTACTGCCAAGAAAAGTAAAATAACCACAAGCAGATACAAATTGATCACAACAAGCTGATAAAATAAGCACCAAGCAACGCAAAATAGTCACTAAAAGATTCAAAGTGAGCACAAGAAGAAGTAAAAACTATCAAACCAATCCTAAAAAGATGCAAAGTGACCACAAATAGAATTAAACCAATCACAATGAGATGCAAAAAATATTATGAAGCAATGCAAAATAATCATGACCTTAAAATGACCTGAAAGAAAAATAAGATGACGACAAAAAGTTACAAATTGATCACAACAAGATGTAAAGTCACAAAAGAAGATTTAAAACAACCACAGAGAGAAAGAAATGAACCTTCTGTGCTGGAGTTTTTAACACAAATATGTTTTGCTGCTGTGCAGGACGCATCAAAAGCTTCTTACATTTCGGTGCTCTTACTATCCATTAATTCTTCTGACCTCCGTTACACAAAACATCACATCGACACCAAGATGATGATAAACTCTCTGATGACGGCTGCAGGTTTGAATGAGCAGCTGCAGACGCTGCATTTAGATTCTCCAACACATAAATCAGAAACAGCTCTGGAGCCTCAAATGTGTTTAAAATAACTGAAATATGTATGAAATCATGAAAAATTAATGTTACAATAAAGCGGCACTGTGGAAGTCTGTTTGTCCTGCAGACAATCATCTGATCAGTGTTTCTCAGCA